GATGGCCTCGTCTGCCTCCTCCTCCTCGTCTTATGTGTGCGACTTGCTCCAGGCCGTGTTGTGTGCTATGCAACTGTCGATGAGAGTCCTCTACAAGTGGTCCTCCGTGTCTCCGTCGATGGCCCCAGGGCGCACGGGCGACGAAGGAAACACGTGCACAGCTTCAGCCTCAGTTCGTGGAGCAAACATTGAATCCCGAAACTTACCACCAAGGTCTGGAACCTCGGGGCATATGCACATGGGAACAAACGAAGACGTATCGTCCCTTATCGTCCCCTCTGCGCTGCCCGCTGCCGCATGATGTACTCTCGCCTCAAGCCGAGGCCCGTGCTGGGCTCGACGGAGCACGTCGGGTCTCGCCGTCGCAACGTCATGCCCTGCCCGTCTGCGTGCAGGGCCCTGCTGCGGCGAAGGATCTCCAACCAGAATGGGGCTTTCCCTTCGAGCTTCGCAAGGAGGGCGGAGATCAATGTCTGCAATACGTGGGGAATTCCAATATTGCCCGCAAGGCTGCTGAGGGCTAACTCTGGTGCTTCCTGGTGGTCGTTGGGTCGCTTGAGCTCTCTTGAGAGCTTCGCCGCTGCATTGCCTGCAGACCACCGCGCACAATGTCGGCCAATTGTCCATTGACCCGCTGAGCGCCTTGGCGTGCCTTCCCCCGAAAGCCATTCTCATACTCCACTGCAGAAACACCTCCAGTCGCAAGAGAGCAAAAGGACATGGTCTAGTTCGCCTGATCACTATGGGGTGTCGCCCGCTTGAGCCCAACATGGCTTGAGCCAGAATGGCGACGGTCGCATCCTCCCCCTCCTCCTTCCCCTCCTCCTTCTCCTCCTCAGACTCCTCCTCCTCCTCCTCCTCCTCCTCCGCCTGATCCTCCGCCTCCAACTCTTCCTCCTCCTCCTCCTCCTCCTCCTCCTCCTCCTCCTCCTCCTCCTCCTCTTCCTCCTCCTCCTCCTCCTCCTCCTCCTCCTCTCTGCTCTCCTCCCCCGCATCGACGTGCGCTATCGCCCTGGCCGTCGCATTGGCATCCACCGTAATTAGCATCGTTGCACGATCCCCCTCCTCCAAGAAACATGTCAGCGTCGCCGCCGGCGAGCATGTCTGGACCTTCACCGTTGGCCGAGGTCACGCGAGCCCTCTTGGTCTCCTGCTCAGCTTGGTATCCCTTTCGCAAAGAGAAATACCTATACAACCACCCTTCGGGTGATAAGGAGGTTGGGGGTGAAAAGAACCAACTGATGGCAATATTGGTGGTTGTGATGAGGACAATGCCGGTGATGCGCCCTCGGGTTGGCGACTTTCGATATCATAACAGATCGCACTATCGATCTCCCATTCGATCTCACCGTCGATCTGACAATCGAACTCATCATCGCAGTCTAAAAATCGATCTCCCAATCTATCTCACAATCGATATCATGATCGATCTCACTGTCGATTCCACTATCTCACCAGCGTTCCCACCATCGATCTCGCAACAGATCCCACGATCGATCTCACAACGGATCTAACGATCGATCCCCCAAACCATCTCACTATCGATCTCGCCGCCTTGCTCTGGGACACTGGCTCACGCCGCCCTGCTGCGGGACACGGAACACCGACGGGACACCGACGGAACACCGACGCGCCACCGACAGGACACCTCCAGCCACCGCGCGCTGGGGGATTAGGGGGTGAGGGGCGGACAACCGGCTCCACAGCCCCTAGCTACGATGGCGACACCGACGGGACACAGATGCGCCATCGACGGGACACACCCGGCCACTGCGCGCCAGGGGGAGAGGGGCGGACAACCGGCTCCACAGCCCCTAGCCACGGCGGCACCTTTCCTCTCGCGCGCCCGCGCAGCTTCGCCTCGCACGCACGCACGACACGAACACAAAACCGAAACAGATTTCCCGGTGGGCGGCTCTCCGTTCCACTGCGATCTCCCCGCCCAACCTCCGACTGAATGGTATTGCAAGGCTTCGGCGCCTCCGCCCAGGGGCACGGCAATCCGACTAGGTAGGAGAAACAAACATTTTGTTCCACGGTAATGATCTCAGACCGACAGCAGTGCAGATTAACAATCGGTGCCGATCCAACAGCCTCGGCAGTGAGCCCAGTGCGAATAAGACTGCTGCCAAGCAAACCCAGAACGCCACAGAAGCCGACCTGCAATAGCTAAACTTGTGTAGAGAGCCATGGCCTGGAGGAGAAGACACCCAGAGCTACCCGTGACAGTGAATGCCCGGGCCCACCGTGCCGATCAAACGGAGGAAGAAGAGGAGGAGAGAGAAGCCAGATGGCGAAAGATACGAATTAGCCCTAGAACGTATTGCGACAGCTCCATTTTGAAGGCCTACACAGCAGCCCAAGCTAGGAGAAACAGACACACACTAAGAAAAGGAGTTGGAGGAGATGTGCACTGCGGGTCGGGTCCCTCCCACACCACCTGAGTCAACATGGATGATGCCGATGGCGATGGCGATGATGGTGATGTTGATGATGATGATGATGATGATGATGATGCTGATGATAGTGGTCGTGGTGATGATGATTGTGATAACGATGGTGATGAAGATGACGATGAAGATGATGATGGTGATGACGATGACGGTGACGGTGACGATACTGATGATGATGACAAAAATGATGCTGATGGTGATGATGATGACGATGATGATGATACTGATAATCATGCTTATGATGATCATGCTGATGGTGATGGTGATGATGGTATCATGATGCTGCTTATGATGATGCTCATGCTTATGATGATGGTGGTGCTGATGGTGATGATGATAGCATGATGATGCTAATGATGATGCTCATGATTATGATGATGGTGGTGATGATGATGATGATGATGATGCTGCTGGCAACAAAGATGATGCTGATGGTGCGATGAGTGTGATTATGTTAAGGAGGAGGAGGAGGAGGAGGAGGAGGAGGAGGAGGAGGAGGCAAGGGTGGCAGAACAAGAAAACGAGAAGGAGCAGCAGTAGCAGCAGCGGCAACGGCAGGGGAAGGAGAAAGTCGACAAAGGGAAACGACGACGACGACTGCAAGCAGCTGGGGTGGCTCTGGCCCGCGGGGGGCTCCGTCGGCGCGTCGACGGCCCCGGCGATCCTGGTGCCGTCGCCGCAGAAACGCAGCAGGAACGGCTCGAGGGGCTGCTGGGGCACGCGTGCGGCCGTGGCCCCCACGCGCCCCTCCTCCTCCTCCTTCTCCTCGGTGGTGGCGATGGTGGCGGGGGAGAAGCGACGATAGTGTCACCGGAAGGTGTGTCGAGTAGCAACATGCATGCTCGAGGTCGGCTGCACTCGGGCCCCAGGGGGAAGCCGCACTGAGGGCGGCTCGCCAGCGCGGAAGTGTCATGGCGTGCGGATGCTTGGACACACGACTCAACGGATCTAGTGGGTCAATGACGGTGATGGTGGTAGTGACGATGAGGGCCATCATCATCATCATCACCACCACCATCCTCCTCCTCATCATCAGCATCATCAGCATCATCAGCATGATCATCATCATCATCATCATCATCATCAGCAGCAGCATCATCATCAGCATCATCGTCCTTATCATCATGATTAGCACCATCATTATCATCATCGTCAGCATCATCATCCTCATCCTCCTCCTCCTCGTCGTCAGCACCATCGCCATCACCATCGCCATCACCATCGCCATCACCTTCAACATCATCCTCAGCAGCAC